TATTAAATGGGGGGTGGCTTATTAGAGGGGGGTGGCTTATTAGAGAGGGGTGGCTTATTAGAGGGGGATTGCTTATTAGAGGGGGTTGGCTTATTAGGGGGAGGTGGCTTATTAGAGGGGGGTGGCTTATTAGAGGGAGGGGCTTAACAGGGGATTTATGGCATGCTTGTGTAGGAAAGATGGACCCACCCTTCTTGGGTGGGTCTAGGGGCATACCTCCCCTTCCCCAAATTTGACGTTTGGTCATTTTTGGTCCTTACTGGTATACTACCATTGCCTTAGGCCAATATTTCCCAGAATGGCCCTCATTCTTGGTTAATAATAAGTTGTTTTTTGAATGAAATCTCAGGGACAAGCAGGTCCACCAGGCAGCTCAGGTGAACCAGGAATGAATGGGGCAGATGTAAGTGACTCAGTTTTTGTGAGCGATGTATCAGAGAATGCCTCATGCACTAACAGAGCTCTCAAGTTGATTAGCAAACAGCAAGACATTGCCTGTGTTGCTTACCTCTGGGGGGAAGAGGCAGTATAGGGCATGCTTCTCTGAAAATTTGTGAAAAAATGAAGTAGCTATTATCAGTGGTTTCAAAACAAGCCGGTGACTGCCGGAGTTCCGCCGGCTACTGGATGGTATGTTGCTGGCTACTCTGGTCACAACAGTCTGCTTGTGACAAACAATCTCGCGTACTTCAAAGCAGCCTACTTTTCCAGAGTCGGCCACCAGCTACTTCAAAACATTTTGAAACCCCTGTATTATATTATAGATGTGCATTTCTTTATTCTGTGTGAGAATTTCCATAATTTGTTGGAAAGTGTTCTAAGTGAGAACATAGGGAGTGAGGAGTAAATTGTATTTAGAATATAATATAGATAGATGTAAGGAGAAATTAGAGGCTGGTCACTCTTAGAGGTTCCAGGTTTTAACTAGCCATGTGCGCTAGGTATGTCTCCCAAAAATAAAACAAACAATTAACCACATTCTTCTCAGCCACAACCATAATTGTAGGTTCCCATGGCCAGTAGAAAAAAAGGATCATGTTCACTGTAGGTGCCCTTGACTGATAAAATTATCAGTAGATATATTGGTGCTCTTGACTAATGTATCGGTTGATATATCAGTTGAGAGTTGGTCGATACTTGACTGATATGTCAGTTGACATTTGGTCGACACTCGTTCCACACTTGCTTGACACTTGCCCAACTCTTGGTCGATACTTGACTGATATGTCGGTTGAAATTTGGTTGACACTCGTTCCACACTTGCTTGACACTTGCCCAACTCTTGGTCGATACTTGACTGATATGTCGGTTGAAATTTGGTTGACACTCGTTCCACACTTGCTTGACACTTGCCCAACTCTTGGTCGATACTTGACTGATATGTCGGTTGAAATTTGGTTGACACTCGTTCCACACTTGCTTGACACTTGCCCAACTCTTGGTCAATACTTGACTGATATGTTGGTTGACACTTGGTTGACACTCGTTCCACACTTGCTTGACACTTGCCCAACTCTTGGTCGATACTTGACTGATATGTCGGTTGAAATTTGGTTGACACTCGTTCCACACTTGCTTGACACTTGCCCAACTCTTGGTCGTTACTTGACTGATATGTCGGTTGAAATTTGGTTGACACTCGTTCCACACTTGCTTGACACTTGCCCAACTCTTGGTCGATACTTGACTGATATGTCGGTTGAAATTTGGTTGACACT